TCTGTGTCCCTCTGGTTTTTTTTTTGTTTGTTTTTAAGAATTACTTTATTTAACTTTATTTATTATTATCATTATTATTTTTCAGTTTGATCAGAGAGAGACAGAGAGAGAGAGAAAGTAAGAAAGCAAGCCACCAGGTCCGAGACTTGAACCGTGGTCAGCCATGTGGGAGTCCAGCGCCTTTAACCACCACGCCACTTTCCGGCCCCTATGTCCCTCTTTGTTAAAATTAAAATAAATGAACAAAGTTAAATAAAATAATTCTTACTAAAAAAAAGTCTTTAAAATAAAAGGGGCCACAGTATTGTCGTATTACACTGAAAAAAGAAAGAAAGAAAGAAAGAGAGAGAGAGAGAGAGAGAGGCCTCAGGCAGTGGCATAGAAGTAATTCATTCAACTCGATTCACATGGAAAAGATTCCAGATTTGTGCCCTGAACCTCGCTAAACATACTATGATACTCCAATGAATGCCCATGAGCTTGGTCAGCTCAGAATGGGGGTGGACTGAGACATGGGAAGCCTGTTGGAGATGCCTGCCTCACTGTTCTTTCTCTCCTTTCTCCTTCCCTCCTTAATGAAAGAAATCATTTAACACGCATGATATCACTGGTTCAATATGTATTTTTAAAAAATTGGGAACCAGAAGTTAGCATAATGGCTATGTCGCTGGCCTCCCACATAGTCAACTGCGGTTCGCGTCCCAGACCTGGTGGCTTAAAACTCACACCTGGTGCGTGTGCGTGCATGCCTAAGATCCCGAGAGGAGAATGGAGGAGAAGGGATTGCGATGTGGCCATCCCCCCTGGGGGTGATTTCTCGCTTTCTGTCTCTCTATCTCTCTCTCTCTGTCTGGCGAGCGCACGTGCCCTATAGCAAGAACCTCTCCAAAAAAAAAAAAATTACAACGCAAGTATCACTGGTTCAATATGACATTCAACAAATAATTACAAATGTAAATGTGTATTTATTAGATTTCCAAAATAACATGCAAATTATTAAAGAATAGCAGTGTCATATATAAATCAAAGCTCTAGAATGGTAAATATGAGAAGTGCCTCTTTGTAATTAAGTGTACAATCTATATTCCTATGCAAAATGCCATTAAAAAGTCTCAAACTTCTCACACTATCGCAAGATTACTTTTCCTTTTTTTTTTTTAAGAATTATTTAATTTTGTTCATTACTATAATTATTTCTTTTCACACTCATCATAGAGAGACAGAAAGAGAAAGACAGACATAGAGCGAGAGGGGGAAAGTGAGAAAGCAATCCGCAGGTCCAGGACTTGAACCACGGTCAGCAATACAAGAGTCTAACACTTTAACCGCTATACCACCTGCCAGCCCCAATATTACTTTTCTTTTACCTGGGTAGGACAGGGAAGAAATTTCACATTAAAGAGAAACTAAAAATGACAACTATTATGTTCCTCTTTTTGTGTGTTTAGGAGAGGTTTCACTTCTGAGAGAGGAAAAGGGAGACAGCATCCCATAATGGGTATAATAATTCTGCAATCCCTTAACCTCCATTTCTCCCATCTATTGGGATTTGGGACATGCACACATGCAACTAACATGTTTTTGTTTTTTTTTTTTTGAGAAGTTTTTGCTATAGGGCGCGTGCGCTCGCCAGAAAGACAGAGACAGAGAGATAGAAAGCGAGAAATCACCCCCACAGGGGGGATAGCCACGCCACAATCCCTTCTCCTCCATTCGCTTCTTGGGACCTTGGGCAAGCACCCACACGCACCCGGCGTGAGTTTAGGCCGCCGGGTCTGGGACCCAAACTGCAGTCGACTACGTGGGAGTCCAGCAACATAGCCATTACACTAACTGCTGGTCCCTCAACTAACATGTTTTTCAACCCACAGGACCAGGACTTGAATTGCATGGCCGGCTGTGTGGAATCCAGCACCCTTTATGAATAAGCAAGGGCTTGTCCAGTGTTTTATTTCATTTTTAGGTGAAATTTCCAGAGCAAGTGTTTATATAATCTATTCACTTTGATACATAAAATAAAAACTAATGTTCAAGATGACTCAAGTATTCCATGGTACTGAATTATGAAATATAAATATTCCTTTTGTCTTAGGGTCAGCCTGTGGTGTGGTGGTTAAGATGACTGGATCCTGCAAGGCAGACTATTTAGTTTGAATCCCAGACTCACGGGCTTGAGAGACAGGCCAGGCACATGTGCATGTGTGCCCAAAATCCCGAAAAGAGGGAGAAATGGAGAACAGATTACAGTATGACCATTCCCCATGGAGATTGCTTTCTTCCTTTCTCCTTTTCTCCCTCTCACCCCTCCCCAGCAAGCACATGCACCCTCTGTCAAAAAATTTTAAAATAAATGCATAAATATAGTTTAAAAGTAAATTAAATGAAAAACACCAAATAATTATTATAGACTAGGATAAATTTTATAATCTCTATTATTAAAATCTTACCCTGCAATCCAACTTCAATTACAGTATAAAGACGTAGGAGATTAATACAGAAAATTAAAACTCGGAACTCCAATCTGTCCAATAATTAGTCTGTATTTGAGATAATTTATGTATGAATTTCTTTCTTTTTTTTTTTTTTAAGGTTTTGCCATAGGACACATGTGCCTGCTACAGAGAGACGGAGAAAGACAGAAAGTGAGAAATCACCCCTAGGAAGGATGCCCATGCCATAATCCCTTCTTCTTCATTATCCTCCTGAGATTTTGGCACACATGCACACAGAGCATATGATCTTTAAGCCACCAGGTCTGGGACTCACACCACAGTCAGCCACGTGGGAACTCAGCACCCCAACCACTATGAATATTTATTTATTTTAGAGGTTTTTGCCTTAGGGCATGTGTGCTTGCCGGGGAGAGAGAGAGACAGAGACAGTGAAAGAAAATTACCAGGCCACAATCCTTTCTCTTCCATTCTCCTCCTGGGATCTTGGGCAAGCACACACACCCACCCTGTGTGATTTTCAAGCCACTAAATCCAGGACTTAAACCGCGGTCAGCCATGTGGGAGTCCAGCGATGTGATCGCCATGCCATCTGCTGGTCCCACAAATATTTATTTTAATGCAGAGAAATTATTACAAGTCACTTGTTCTAATAATGTATCTGATGGCTCAAAAAACTAGAAAGACTCCATGAAAAGTTAAACTTTTTATTTCTAAGACTTTACCTGACAGGATATAGAAAACAAAGTCATTTCTATTGCTGAGATAAATATCTTCTTTTTAATATTTTAAAAGATGAACACAAAGTGTATGTGAGGAAGAGGTAAGGGAAAGCAATCCTTCCCACCAATGTGAGGTGGTCATTCTACAATCCCCCTTTCTCCCTTTCTCCATCCTGTCAGGCTCCTGGGCACGCATGCACACATGTCTGGTGTTTCTTTCACGCTGCTGGGGTTTAGGATTTGAACCACAGATGGCTATGTGAGGTCCAGCCTGAAGTATTTTGTAATGTTCTGACAAGTTCAGTTAGAGCTGAGAAACCAGAAATTCATAAATTGAAATGAACACTTTTCTTCAAAAATAAACTAAACATGATATTTATTCTTTGAATATTTTCAGTATCTTAAATATCTACATAAAAATTTAATACAAAATGATGGTATTTGAAATAAATACAACATAAATTCTTAGTAAGTATACTCACTAGTATACATCAAATAACTACTGCAGAATATGATCAAGTGAAACAAAAAATGTAACATCAATAACAGGTATAAAGATGTATCTGTATATAAATGGCTGAAAGAAACGTGGCTAGGAATAAAGAATTTTTAAATGAAAGCTTTAGAGCTTTAAAATCTTAAGAAAGTATAAAGAACACTATGATTACTGCTAATGTCTTATCCTTATTTTGTACTCATTACTAATTAGTTTATTGAAATAATTAAAATTTGCAAGTTCTCAAATTTCATGTAAGAAACAGCATTTAACAGAAAGCAAGAAATAATATTATAGTCCAATATCTAATACTAAAATATCTTATGGCAACTGAATTTATATCCTAGGATTTTAAAACTTAGGTATCCTGAAGGCATTTATTTATATAGCTAATCTACAAGCTAAATAAATGTACATTAAATAAATATGTATCATAATTCTCTTGATGATCCATAAAACAGCCCAAACCTAAGAAAGCCTTTGACCTCCTATTTGATAAGAACTTTATAAACTCACTTGTGTCTAGAAGGTACAAAAGCAGAAATTCTTCCTAAATTTCACATCAGTTTGCACAATATTTACCTCAAAAACTAATGTATGATTAAAATACACATATCTAAATCAATTTATTAGATGACCAGTTTTAGTTTTAACTGAAAAGTATGTATCTGTATTTTAATAATTCTAAAATAAATGCTAAAAAAAAGTAGCTATTAAACTTATTCTAGTTACTTTCTTCTTTGTGCTATTCTACAGTTTCAAAGTCTTCCATCATCATGCACTACTTTTCCTTTCCTTTTTAGAAAAGACCATAAATCAGCGCAGGCAGTTATACTTTGCAAATCAGAAGCAAAATGAGATGTCAGATAGAGGGGGAATAACTAACTCAGGTAGCTTCACTCTGTAACTCATTATTCTAACAGTATTACTAAATCCCACTGCAAGTCAGAGACATGATAAGGGAAGACCAACAAGAGAGGAAAGAAGAACTTTGGTTACATCTTTGAGATTTTAGAAAAAAAGGAAGTGGAACTGTGAATTCCCAATACTAAGGATTTCTCCCTCCCTTCTATCTTTTAACAATGATTCTCACTTCAGAATATGAAAGAATAAAATAACTTACTTCCTCCTTGTATAATTTTCCAGTCAACAAGCAACAAACATAGGAGGATGACGGGACTGTTCCTGGTATCTTTTCCAAAGTTATTTCTCCCCAGAACTGAGAGTAAAGCTTTACTTTAGTTGTCTGACTTACACAAATGTCTTAGTTGTCTTTAACAGAAAGAAAACAGACATCAAGTAGCTAGTGAAGTTGGATCTAAAACCACCTACCTCTCCAGGGTGCAATCTATCCCAGTTTTCATTAATGTATGTCATAAGTTCAAGTTCAGAATCAAAGTATTTCTTCTTGTGAATAACACTTAGGTTGTAAAGGCATAGGTGTGCTATATCTACCCTGGAATCCAAAAATAATCAAAATATACAAAAACAATGTTTTTGGTTACTGTTAAGAAATCACACAGTTTTCTTACAAAACCAGTAATGAAAAATCCAAAGAAAAGAATTTAGGTGGCTATCGGGTCAATATTGTATATCATGGTCATAGTATAATAAAATCACTATACATAAAGATAGTTGGAAAACACTGACTAAACATTTACTTGTCCTGAATATTAACTGTAAACTGAAAATGTTTTAATTACTTCTTAAAATACAATTAAAGAGCATTTGACTTTAAGAAAAAATAACTTACAATCAAGATTTTTGTGTCTTCACTACTACATATAAGCTACAGAATAGACCACACTTTATTAGGATTTATCTGCTTCGTAAGTTAAATTTGTTCCTAAAATATGTAAAACAGAACAAATATTTGTAAGTACTTACTATAAGCATTTTATTAGTAAATCTACAAAATGTATCATACTTCCCATGGATAAGAATTACTATACTGAAACAGCAATTGCTGTATTTTTTATGCCTATTTGTCTTCTATTGTATATTTGTCTGAAGGCCTAAAACAACCATAAACAATAGGACCAGCAGATGGCATAGTAGTTTCGTAGTGGAGTCTCTGGACTCCCATGTAGTTGACCACCAAGTGAGTCCCAGATGCAGAGGCTTAAAACTCCTACAATCTATATCCAAAATCCCTAAGGGAGACTGGTGAAGAAGGAACTACGGCATGGCCATTCCGGCTGGAGGGTGATTTCTCACTTTCTCTTTGTCTCTGTCTCTCTGGCAGCACACATGCCTCATAGCAAAATTCTCTCCAAAAAAATAAATAAATAAATAGCTACAAACATGAATAAGAATTTTGATCTAGGGGCTGGCAAGTGGTGTGGTAGTTAAGGCACTAGACTCCCAAATGGCTGAGCACTGTTTGAGTTCCAGATCTGGTGGTTTGTGTTCTCACTTTCTCTTTCTCTCTGGTCAAATTAAAAAGCAGTGATAATGAAAAATTAAATTAAATAAATAATTGTTACAAAAAAAGAAATTTAACCTAAAAGATGTCTTAAAGCTACATTTATATCATTTAATAATGAAAAGACTTATTTATCAATAAAGATGAGATAATCCTTGATGACAAGGATGACATTCTCAAGATGACATCAGGCTTGAGAATAAATGAAAGAAGGGGTCAGCAGGTGGCATGGTGGTTGAGGCACTGAACACTCTTACATGGCCGACCATGGTTCGAGTCCCAGACCTGGTGGTTTGCTTTCTCACTTTCTCTCTCTCTCATGTCAAATTAAAATAAATGAATGAATGAATAAGTAAAATTAAATAATTCTTAAAAAAAAAAAAAAAGAAAAAAAGAAAAGAATAAATGAAAGAAATAAGCCAGGCAAAAAAAAAAGAACAAATTTTTATTTAAGCCAAGTACATATAGTTTCATCACATAGCTTTAAGAATACAGCTTTTTTTCTTCCTTAACAGAGGTATCTGTGCTTACCATTGTAATGGTAGACGTTTGAGGTATTCTGGTCCAGAACTGCAGACAGAGCAAATAAATGTGTAAAACCTACAAAAAAGAGAGAAGTTTTATATTAAGTAATCAAATACACACACACACACACACACACACACACACAACTTAGCAATTATAGTCAATTTTAAATGAGTATCCTAGAGTTTATGTAAGGACTAATACTTAAAGCAAAATATGACTTGACCTTTGACACTGCTTATGATTTAAAGAGATTTCTTTTCCAATAATGGTAAGTGATAAAACAGTTTCTACCTGAGGGAAGGGACAATTTTTTTAACCATTAAACCTTCAATGTACACATATATATTCATATGCACCCACAGTTTATGTGGTGTATACCACATAATGGCTTGTGTATACCATAGTTTACCACTGGCTTCTGTATGCCAGGAATTATCAAGGCTGCCCTCCTATACATCATTTCATTCAATGCTCAGAAAAACCTGGTAAGATAACCCAAAAGAGACAAGATGACCTTCCAAAGGTCAGAAAGATAATAAAAGGCATAAGCTAATAAACATATTTTTATGTAAAACTTTAGTGCTCATCTTTACCTTTTCTTCTTAAAGCTCACTCTGCTATTTCACATTATCCTAACACAGATAACATATTAAGTCCACTTTTAGAAATTCTTAAGATCTAAGGTATAAATTATTTCTATAACAAGGTCCTGTAGCCTTTTCCAATTTTGTCACAGGATTCCTCTGAGGTTATTTAAAGGAAAGTAACAATGAGATCAGTTTAGAGCACCAAGGGACAACTGAAGCAAATGTTATCACTGCAAATACTTTCTGGAGTAATAACAAAAAGCACAAAAATTTTGTGTATTTTAAGTGTATTATTTAGTACTTTCCCTTTTAAAACTACTTTAAAATATCTAAAACCTCAAATATAACCACAATTTAAAAGCCACAAAAAAATCAATCATTAAAGTTCAAATGCCCTCTCAGAGGGTGATTTCTCACTTTCTCTTTGTCTCTGTCTCTCTGGCAGCACACATGCCTCATAGCAAAATTCTCTCCAAAAAAATAAATAAATAAATAGCTACAAACATGAATAAGAATTTTGATCTAGGGGCTGGCAAGTGGTGTGGTAGTTAAGGCACTAGACTCCCAAATGGCTGAGCACTGTTTGAGTTCCAGATCTGGTGGTTTGTGTTCTCACTTTCTCTTTCTCTCTGGTCAAATTAAAAAGCAGTGATAATGAAAAATTAAATTAAATAAATAATTGTTACAAAAAAAGAATTTTGACCTAAAAGATGTCTTAAAGCTACATTTATATCATTTAATAATGAAAAGACTTATTTATCAATAAAGATGAGATAATCCTTGATGACAAGGATGACATTCTCAAGATGACATCAGGCTTGAGAATAAATGAAAGAAGGGGTCAGCAGGTGGCATGGTGGTTGAGGCACTGAACACTCTTACATGGCCGACCATGGTTCGAGTCCCAGACCTGGTGGTTTGCTTTCTCCCTTTCTCTCTCTCTCATGTCAAATTAAAATAAATGAATGAATGAATAAGTAAAATTAAATAATTCTTAAAAAAAAAAAAAAAGAAAAAAAGAAAAGAATAAATGAAAGAAATAAGCCAGGCAAAAAAAAAAGAACAAATTTTTATTTAAGCCAAGTACATATAGTTTCATCACATAGCTTTAAGAATACAGCTTTTTTTCTTCCTTAACAGAGGTATCTGTGCTTACCATTGTAATGGTAGACGTTTGAGGTATTCTGGTCCAGAACTGCAGACAGAGCAAATAAATGTGTAAAACCTACAAAAAAGAGAGAAGTTTTATATTAAGTAATCAAATACACACACACACACACACACACACACACACAACTTAGCAATTATAGTCAATTTTAAATGAGTATCCTAGAGTTTATGTAAGGACTAATACTTAAAGCAAAATATGACTTGACCTTTGACACTGCTTATGATTTAAAGAGATTTCTTTTCCAATAATGGTAAGTGATAAAACAGTTTCTACCTGAGGGAAGGGACAATTTTTTTAACCATTAAACCTTCAATGTACACATATATATTCATATGCACCCACAGTTTATGTGGTGTATACCACATAATGGCTTGTGTATACCATAGTTTACCACTGGCTTCTGTATGCCAGGAATTATCAAGGCTGCCCTCCTATACATCATTTCATTCAATGCTCAGAAAAACCTGGTAAGATAACCCAAAAGAGACAAGATGACCTTCCAAAGGTCAGAAAGATAATAAAAGGCATAAGCTAATAAACATATTTTTATGTAAAACTTTAGTGCTCATCTTTACCTTTTCTTCTTAAAGCTCACTCTGCTATTTCACATTATCCTAACACAGATAACATATTAAGTCCACTTTTAGAAATTCTTAAGATCTAAGGTATAAATTATTTCTATAACAAGGTCCTGTAGCCTTTTCCAATTTTGTCACAGGATTCCTCTGAGGTTATTTAAAGGAAAGTAACAATGAGATCAGTTTAGAGCACCAAGGGACAACTGAAGCAAATGTTATCACTGCAAATACTTTCTGGAGTAATAACAAAAAGCACAAAAATTTTGTGTATTTTAAGTGTATTATTTAGTACTTTCCCTTTTAAAACTACTTTAAAATATCTAAAACCTCAAATATAACCACAATTTAAAAGCCACAAAAAAATCAATCATTAAAGTTCAAATGCCCTCTCACCTGTCTCCAAATAGCATTGGCTTTTGAAGGCATTGCACACAAGCCTCATGAAACCACTGCTTACATTTGCAGCACTGTAGCATTTTTAAATACCAGCTATAAGAAAAAAAAGTTGATTTAGATTACTATTTTTATGAGATTAAAGGTTCATTTTAACAACAAAGTGGCATTTTCAGAATAGAGTTCTGATTAAAGTATCATATTTCAAGTTATACTTCAGTGTTAAATGTGTCATTTCCCAAAAAGATTTGTAATATCAGCCATATCATCCCTCCTGTCTTTTACTTATGGGAATCTATAAGCTGAAAAATAACTACAATTTCTTATACTTTCTCAAAGTACAAGCCTGACAGGTCAGAAGTATTGCTGTTTACCTCAGATAACAAATGGCCTCGGCAGCTTTTGGGTTCTAAATATCTCATTTTATTTTATTTATTTTTTAAAGAAGTATTTTTACTTAACTTTATTATTACTATTATTATTTAACTTGTGGGGGGTAAGAAAGTAAGCCAACAAGTCTGGGATTCTAACCACAGTTGGTCATGTGGGAGTCCAGCACCCTTCACCACCACACCACCTGCCGGCCTCATTTTTATTTTTAATTTTTTTTTAGAGATTTTTGCAATAAGGCACATGTGCTCACCACAGAGACAGAGAGAAAGAAATAGAAAGCGAGAAATCATCACCCCCTCCCCGAGGGATAGCCACACCACAATCCCTTCTCCTCCGTTCTCCTCTCAGGATCTTGGGCATGCACATACATGCAATCAATGTGAGTTTTAAGCCATCAGGTCTGGGACACAAACTGCAGTCTACTATAGGGGAGTCCAGCAACGTAACCATTACACCATCTGCTGGTTCCTAAATATCTCATTTTATCTTCACTGTATTTCTATTACTCTTGTCCATTACAACGAAAACAGAAGAGGTGAAGCAATTTAATAAACTTGGTCATATAAATTATAATCTATAGTTCTAACAGATGTAAAGGCTTTGCAACAGGTCTAATTCTATTTCTGAGTCTACAGATCTGTTTCACATAGCTAAAGATACTAAAACTGAATCTTCATCTAAAAAGAGTATGTTCTCTTTTAAGTAAGTACATTATTTTTTAAAGAATTATTTATTTTTAATTTTACCAGAGAGAGACAGAGAGAGCGAGAAAGCAAGAAAGCAAGCCACCAGGTCCAGGACTCAAACCATAGTCATCCATGTGGGAGTGTCCAATACCTTAACCATCATGCCACCTGCTGGTCCCAAGTAAGTACATGTTTTTAATATAATGACTCCCAAATAATGTCTTTTCTTCTTACTAGTGAGCCCCATATAAATTATAAACCATACACAAGCAAAAGCAAAAAGACCGCCATCAGGTCATTTATTCCTCAAATGACCAGTAATGTTCTAGGTATTCTGGTAGGTGCCAAAGTTAGAGTAGTTAGAAGGATCAGACACAATTTTTGTCCTTCTAATGCTTAAGGAACAATGAATGATCTGCCTCATAAGATAATATAAATAATAATTTCTACCCATTTAGAACAATGCTTTATACTAAATGTTATGATTAAATGAGTAAACAAGAAACAGCAGTCTCTAGGGCCTATGTTCATCTCTTCATATAAACTGAGAACACTGGGGCCAGCAGGTGGTGTGGTAGTTAAGGCACTGGACACTCCCACATGGCTTACCACAGTTCAAATCAAATAGTAACAGTTCAAGTACTAGACCTGATGGCTTACTTTCTTACTTTCCTTCACTCTCTCTCTCTCATTCTCTGTGTCTCTCTCTGGCCAAATTAAAATGAATGAATAAATTTGGGGCCAGCAGGTGGTCAAGGCACTGGACACTCTTATGTGGCTGACCATGGTTCAAGTTCTAGAACTGGTGGCTTGCTTTCTCACTTTCCCTCCCTCTCTCTCTCTCTCTCTCTCTGTCTGTGTGTGTGTGTGTCTCTGTGTATCTCTCTGGTCAAATTAAAAGAAATGAATGAATACATAAAAATTTAAAAATAACTCTTAAAAAAATGAATGAATAAAATTAAAACACGTCTTAAAAACAAAACAAAACTGAGAACATTTATAAGAATGTTAAATTCTGGGACCAGCTGTTGGCATAATGGCTGTGTTGCTGGGTTCCCATGTAGTCAACCGTGGCTCGAGTCCCAGACCCAGTGGTTTAAACTCATGAGGAGCACATGTGCATGCGTGCCTAGGATCCCGCAAGGAGAATGGAGAAGAAGGGATTGTGGCGTGGCCATATCCCCTGGGGGTCGCTTTCTGTCTCTCTGTATCTTTGTGGCGAGCGCACGTGCCCTATAGCAAAAACCTCTCAAAAAAAAAAAGACAGAAAAGAATGTTAAATTTCAGGGCCAGACCTTGGCATGGTGATTAAGGCAGTTAGATCCACAGAGCTGATTATGCGGTTTGAGTCCTGTATCCAGTGGCTTGAGAAACACTGGGAACATGGTGCATGTGTGCCCAAATTCCCAACAAGAAAGAAAGATGGAGAAGGGTTACAGCATAGCCATTTTCCACTGAGGATACTTTCTCACTTTGCTCCCATCTCTCACTCTCTGATAGCGCATTAAAGAATTTAAAAATGTTAAATTCCATAATACCAGATATGAGGTAGAATGAAAAATGAAAAATCAGGACCAGCAGTTGGCATAATGGCTATGTCGCTGGACTTCCATGTAGTAGACTGCAGTTTGAGTCCCGGACCTGGTGGCTTAAAACTCATACTGGGCGCGTGTGTGGGCATGCTCAAGATCCCAAGAGAAAAATGGAGGAAAAGGGATTGTGGTGTGGCCATCTCCCCTGGGGCGGGGGGGATTTCTCACTTTCTGTCTCTGTCTCTCTCTGTCTTTCTGGTGAGTGCACGTACCATATAGCAAAAACCTCTCAAAAAAAAAAAAAAGAAAAATAAAAAAATCCATTCATTGGGACCAGCAGGTGGCATGGTGGCCAGGGGCGTTGGACTCCCACATGGCTGACCGCGGTTCAAGTCCCGGACCTGGTCTCTCTCTCTTCCCTCACTCTCACTTCCCCTGTCTCTCTCTCTCTCTCTCTCTCTCTCTTCTTACTCACTCTGTGTCTCTCTCTGGTCAAATTTAAATAATAAATAAATAAAGTTAAACAAAACAAACAAAAAAAAACATTCATTCATTTATTCACTTTCACCTCTGAACCACTTTATATGTTCCAGCATTTTCCTGTACAATACCCCAATCTTTATGTTCTTTAGTTTTTTGCCATAGTGCGTAAGCACTTGCCAAAAGTGATAAATCACTGTCCCCTCAAGGGAGATAGCCACACCACAATTTCTTTTTCTCCATTCTCCTCTCAGAATTTTGGGCAGGCAGGCACACACACATACACAAAATGCTTATTTTTAAAACTCAAAAATCCTGGGGCCAGCAGTTAGTGCAATGGGTATGTTGCTGGACTCCCATGTAGTCGACTGCGGTTTGAGTTCTGGGCCCAGTGGCTTAAACTCACACCAGCGCGTGTGTGTGCGTGCCCAAAATCCCGAGAGGTAAACGGAGAAGGAATTGCGGCGTGACCATCCCCGCAGGGGGTGATTTCTTGCTTTCTGTCTCTATCTGTCTGGCAAGCGCACGCATCCTATAGCAAAAACCTCTCCAAAAAAAAAAAAAATCAAAATCCTCATTAAAGTTTAAATATTCTAGTTATCAATATCTTGGTTATCAAGTTTCATTCAGAGATATTACTCTTATTACAGCTCTCTAGTATCTGGATAGGATTTTTTTTTTCAGTTAAAAACTTAAAAAAACAATTTGTTGTTAAAAAATTAAAAAGAAATAATAATTGGGGCCAGCAGGTGGTATGGTGATTGAGACACTGGGCACCCACATGGCTGACCATGTTTTGAGTCCGGGACCCAGCAGCTTGCTTTCTCACTCACTCTCTCTCTCTCTGATCAAATTAAAATCTATCAATAATGACAATAAATAAAATTAAATTAAATAGTTCTTTTAAAAAATAAGTAAATAAATAACAAATTAAATAATTCTTTTTTTAAAGAATTATTTATTTATTTCTATTTGCTGCTATTATTATTATTTTTTTAATTTGACCAGACAGAGAGAGAGAAAGAGAGAGAAAAGGAAAGCAAGAAAGCAAGCCGCCAGGTCTGGGCCTCAAACCACAGTCAGCCATGTGGGAACCCACACCTTTAACCACCACGCCACCTGCTGGTCCCTAAATAAGTAATTCTTAAAAAAAAAAAAAAGAAAATAAAAAGAAAGAAAGAAAAGAAAAGAAATGGAATATCAGGGCTGGCAGATGATGTGATGATTAAGACACAGGACTCCCTCATGGCCAACCATGATTTGAATCCCAGACCTGGTAGCTATTTCTCTTTCTCTCTATGGTCAAATTTTAAAATAATAATAATGATAACAATAAATAAAACTTTTTAAATAATTCTTTTTTTTTTTAAAGAATTATTTTACTTAACTTTATTTATTTATTCATTTGCTCATTTCTATTTGACCAGAGAGGGACAGAGTGAAAGAGAGAGAAAGTGAGAAAGCAAGCCACCAGGTCTGGGACTCGAACTGCAGCTGGCCATGTGGGAAT